ATCTGTTTGTAATTAAATGCTTTCTTGCAAGCTAAAAGTGTTAAACTCACTCAAAGCAGGAAGATTTCACACGCTGCTTTCAATCTACACCCTCAAAAACAGATATATAACTAAAAAAACAGCATACTATAAATGTATATATACTATATATATTTCACTGGCCTTGGCAAACATTCTGTAGTAGTTGGCTTCATCTGTTGGCATTTCTCTTGAACTTTCATCAGGTAACATTCTCAAAAATGGTCAGAATGTAAGCTTAATTTCCCGGCTGTATTCATCCTTCAGATAGGAACAGCCCTGGATGACATATCGGTCTAGAAATGCAGCCCACCTGGACCACAGCCTCTCTGAAACACAGCTTTTGCCTAGTCTCTTGTATGAGTAGTCCTCATGCTTCTCTGTCTTTTCCTTGTATTCCTTTGTGGTTTCCTTGAAATTATTGTTTACTTTATTTGTAAAGCCACACTACGCAACTTTTCTAGGATTTGCAGACCTTTCTGGTGAAAATGTGTTATTGCAAATAATATGCGGAAAAAGATTTTGTAATGTTGGTTTTGCTTCAGAACCCTTACACGAGTGTCTAAATCAGATGATTGCAAGCGCTCTGAAAGAGTATTCAAAGAGACTTCAGTCAAAACTTCGTAAAGGACGAGTCTTCCAAGGATCTAACTGAATTATGTACTATTGTCATGATATCTTCATCAGTATAATGTTAATTTTGCATTTGAGACCTAAACATCGAGCCTGACCCTTTTTTTGAGCCTATGTATATGACGTTAAAACCTAAAGACTTTTGACATGGTTAAAAACCTCCCACGAAATCCAACCTGATGCCTCTGACTCTTAAATTATTATTTCGGGCTTTATAGGGTGACTCGTAACAGAGCACAGACACCATATTGACACCATATTTTTGCATGTTTTTTCTCCTGACTCAGTAAAGCTACTTCTTTCAATATTAACCAAACAAAAAAAATCACAAACTATAACTGTGTAGAAACAATAGGATATTGCTCATTAATAAGCAGGGATGCACCAATAAGAAAATTGTGGGCCAATGCTGATCTCCGATATTTTTTCTTGTACATATTTGCTTACACTGATACATAAACATTTATAATATCCAGAAATTGGAATAGATATTCTTGGCGTAACATCACAACAAAATATAACAACTGGTAAAATCTAAACATCTTCTTATATATATATATCTCAATAGTACAGCTAATTATTTTTATTTTATTCCATATCAAAACAAAAAAAGAAACACACTTGCTTTGCTCAAAGTGCATATAAACACGTCAACTAGTCTTTAAGCTTATTGTTCAGGTCTTTTTCATTTATAATTTATTATGCCTTATTGTGCAGAGGCCTCGAAAGACTGATCCCTCCCTGCTGGAAGAAAGAATGGAAAGCCTCAGCCTGTGTTTTTAATGACAGGTAGCTGTTAGCATGTGGGTGTTTAAAGTTGTAGTCCACTAAATCATTAATGGCAGTCACAGCTGTAGCGTGAGGGAGAGAGACTGGGTGAAATATCAGGTAACAGGTATCGAGCCTGGGCTCAAACAAGCGGGCCATTCTTCTGGGATTTCCTTCAGCTAAGCTGAGTCTGGAACTGTGAGACTGACTTTAGTGAGATTACACAAACTAGGTTACACTGTTCTGCCACTAATCTGTGTGCATTTGTTTGCTCTAAACTCCACTAAATTTTGTAAACGATCATTTATGTCAGGTTAGGCTCCCTTATGATGTGATGGTGACTTTTTTTTGTCATCAACAGTCAACTGTGCTAATGATATGCTAATTACAGGTAACCTGAACAAAGCCTTTTACAGTGGACTGGGGTTGAAAAGCAGCCCTTTTCTACAGGATAGAAGCAAATGAACAGAACAAGTCAGCCAAGCAGACAGCATTTTTTGGCCAACTCTATTTGCCAGCCTGTTAGGAAGCGACATTAGATGTCCAAAAGACTCTAAACACCTGCTGGTCAGGGTATTAATAAAAAGTTTGCCCCGTTTTTTGTATTAACAGCCTCTTCTCTTCTGGAAAGGTTTTACACTAGATATTGGAACATTGCTGTGAGGGCCTGATTGGATTCAGCCACATAAGTATTAGTAAGGTCAGATACTGATGTTGGATGATTAGCTGAATGTGAAAGATCCTCAAAGCTTCATGGAAATTACTAACAGCAGCTGTTGTAAAAATCTTTTTACTGCTCTGTGACCACAGAGCAAACCTTCCCAAGCGTCATTTTCAAAAGAAGAACAGGCCATACTAAGGTAGTGGTGCCGTAACCTCTGGGCTAAATGTTCACATCAGTGGTTTTCTTATCTACCAGTGACAGACAGAATGAGGAAGCCCACATGATACGTCATTGACCTAATGTAAAAAATGTGGAGAACTAGTTATTATTTATGTTTTACATTCATATATGCATAACCCTTATGGCTGATTGTTTATGTTACTGCACATAAATGCATAAATAAAGGAAAAACTGTCAAGAACTTCTATAGTGTACACTTAAAACATAATGATCAGAACAGTGTAATGAACAAGTTTAATTTTCTAATATTGTTTAAGTTGTTTTATGACAATATATGATAATATGCTGTATCACAGTATTATATATAGAAAGAAAGAGAGAAAGAAAGCTTATGCTAATGAAACTATAGTGTATACTACAGCCTGTTAGGTGGATAACCCACCAAATTATCAGAAATAATGCAGATTTGATGTGGCTGTAGCTTTGATTTTCCGGCCACTTTCCTTTTTTTGATATGTGGACCACCACACAGAAAGGAAAGCAGTCATCGAACCTAATTCCCAAAGTCGTTGCTCAATTGCTTAGGCTAATACAGCAATGTAATCTAAAAGGAAGGCTGAACACACTAGTTAAAGTGCTATAACTAAATTGTTAAACTAACTTTCAAGGCATAATTTTGATAAGCAGCTGGATTTTCCCCTTTTTTCTTGAATTTAAGCTTTGTTCAAAAAGTTCGGAGGAAAACACAAATTCTCTTTGTATAATAACCACAGCCTTATCTGGAGTCGTTCTGAAACGCTTAACGTGAAAAAAAGCTTAATGTGGTTCAATGTACTAAAACACTGACCTACAAATACCCAACCTCTCTCATTTACTTCTGGTCATAAGTACTGTCTACTGCTAAAAGGAAGACCCTGTGATCCAAAAAGAAACTCAAATCATTTTTATGTTGAGCTTTTTTTCTTATTTTTTCTTGAAGCTTAATGTGGCTTAATGTACTAAAACAACAACCTATGAATACCAAACTTCTTCAGCTTACTACCGGTCATAAGTACTGTGAGAAAGTTAATTAGAGTCACTTATCTATGTTGAACACTACAGCTGAGCATGTAATTAAGGCATTAGCTGTGAGAGAACATGTCAGAGAGAAAGTTAACTTTTTTGATGGATTATTCTGATAAATTTGATCTGATTGGCTCTCCTGAACATCCAAGCTTTGCTGTTGTGTACTAGTAACATTAATCACATTGTGTATTTATAATCAATTGCTGACTATTATATAACTATTTACCACTGTTGACCACAATGTTTTATTGCTGTTTAAAATGGACAGACATGCCATTAAGTGTTTAAATAGTGTATGAAGTGTTTAAATTAAGCTCTAATTTTTTCCAGTTATGCATAATCTGCAGTACCTAGCTCACGCTAGCATTTTAAGTACTATCAGTGTTTAACACCAGTATATGTGGTTATTTTATTCTATGTTCTAAATACAAATATATTAATGGATAAGGCTTATTTGGCAGTGGGCGTATTCAGCGTTTAATTAATGTTTAAGGGTTATTTGGCTGTTGGGTTATTTACTGTTTAATTACTGACTCCTTTCAGCAGTAGAGAGTACTTATGACCAGCAGTAAGTAAGAGAGGTTTGTTGTTCATAGGTCATTGTTTTAGAATGTTCAGCCATGTTAAGCTTTCTTCATGCTAAGCGTTTTTGAATAAGCCTGTATCAGATACTGGCAAAGCTTGCTACCAATCAAGGATAGAAAGCTCTTGCACAACAGAAACACTTAGAACCAGTTGCCCAGACTCAAACAGTCTTTTTTTGCAGATGGCTGAACTGCCAATAATGAGTCAGAGCCCAGACGCCTTTAGAAATATTTACCGTTCCAAGATGTGGAAAATGCTTCTGGCTCCAAGGTTTTGCTAGTGTGCTTGTGTGCACTAGGTGAGGTCTGAGTTGGAGGGGGCATGTCAGACTCACACGGCTCCTCATGATTAGAATTCTTCTTTAGTCCATATGTCCATATGCATATATCATTTGATTTCAGCTAAAAGGTTCAAAATGAAAGTTGAAAAGACGTCTAAACTTAGCCGTTGAAAAAACGGCCAAAATAGTCACATTAAAGACGTCATTTTAAGGCCGTTGATTTAACGTTGAAATCACGTACATAACTGCTGTTTAATTTACGTTTTCTTATGGTTGAAAATGAAAGTTGAAAAGACGTCTAAACTTAGCCGTTGAAATAACGGCCAAAATAGTCACATTAAAGACGTCATTTAAAGGCCGCTGATTTAACGTTGAAATCACGTGCATAACTGCTGTTTAATTTAAGCTTTCTTATGGTTGAAAATGAAAGTTGAAAAGACGTTCAAGCTTAACTGTTGAAAAGACGACCAAAAAGTCACAGTAAAAATGTCATTTTAAGGTGTTCTAAGGCCTTGGAAAAAATTATAAATTATAAATTAAAAGGCATTGAAAAGTCATCCAAAATTAATTTCCACTAGTACACTCTCAAAAAAAGATAACACTTTAGCATGAATCCTATATAGAACCATTTCATGCTTAATACACTGTACAATAGAACAACCTTTTTTGGTGCTATATAGAATGAATTTTTCTATATAGAACCATATACAACGCATTATCTGTCAATGTGAAGAACCTTTTCCCCATGCAAAAAAACTTCCTGTAGTTAACTAACAATTTTGATTCCAATGTAAACATAAAACAAACTTTGTTAAATGGAAACTTTATTGAAAACGTGTAGTTATTATTAATTTCATTTGTGGAACATAAAACTGGACCATGAACTTCCTTAGGACTAAGACAAAGATCCTATGCATCAATTCAGAAAGAATTTTCAAACCTTTGAACCATAAGCTGTGTCAGTATTGTACATGATTTTCAATGTTTTAATGTAAAGGAAATCAAGGTGATTATTTAACAAGACAAAATCTTGCATTTTAGTTTCTGAGAAGTCAAACAAGAAAAGAAAAAAAAAAGTTTAAAGCTCTGCAGGGGGCATGCTTGAGGTGATCGGCCGCAGCAGAATCCATCTCATGAGCTGTGGCTTTGTTGTTCCACTTCAGAACTGCAGCTAACATAAAACACAAACAAGACTGTTACAATTAATGCACACACAAAGCATTAAAATCTCTTGACAAAAACAGACAGATCTGTGGACGGTGAAAGACATTCTAACATCATACTTATTACTTATTTAGTCTTACTTATCAATTAATAGTCACAATGCCACAAGGCCTTTGACAGCTTTTAATTCACATATATTTAAACCTTTCAAATCTGAAATATGTTTCCATATAATATACATATTTTCCTGTCTGCAATGTAGCCAATAAGGAGGCAACTGATAATTACAAATCTATTTTTTAGTTATTTTTAAATGTTTATTTCAGTGGGCTTCTAAACAACTGCGAAGTAGTGATGTTGTGATATGTTCTTTTAAATGCAAAGGGCTTGAGCTTGTCTCTAATTTTATATACTGTCTCTAATTTTATATATTCTCCTAAGACCCATGAGATTTCTAAACTCTGTACTAGACTGCTGGGAACTGAAAAGCCTCTCTCTTATTTTGGTCAGTGTTTATTTGTTAAAAGAACAAAGCACAGTCCAAAGAACGAACTGGGTAGTAAATAGAACAGAATGCAGCTATAAAGCTCAGTATTATTATTTGACTTTTTTATATGCCTTACAAATTCCACTATCAAATTTGACTGAAATGACTACAATTAATGATTCTGCTTCTTTAGTTTAGTATTGGTGTTATGTGTAACATTGCTCAAACACTAGAAGACAATATTAACCCAGATGTTTTTCCATAAATACATCCCTAAAACTTCTCTCAACCCTCTCAAACCTCATCTAGGTCTCCATTAGAGTCAGCAGACTTGTCAGTGTAGTGTAGGACACAGAAAGACTTACCTTGAACTATAGAAATGAACAAAACCTCACCACTATGGCCATTTTAGGCAACACAAAGGCTGCACAGGACTGATGTTGGATCAGTAATTATGACTGTCATTTCCATAAAAAACTATTCTAGCTCAGCAATCTTACTCCTGAGACAGAGAGGTCACCCATGGCACTTACTCTGTGATGACGTTTTGTTCACTTTTATAGCCCACAGTATGTCATATTGAGTGTGTTTCCACTCTCCACCAACATCTAGAAACACAGCTGTAGCTTCTGCAGCTGTTTAAAAAATATGCTAGCTAGCTAGCTAGCGTTAGCTACTCAAATTACGTAGCTGCATAAGCTAACTACTTTCAAATAGTGTAAAATAATCATTAATTGTGGTAGTTCATTTCAAAGTAAAAATATGCTCCTGGCAGTTTTAAAATGAGCCTCGAGCTATTCATGTATGTGACTACAAGCTTAGATGAATATAGCTAATGTAGCTCAATATAGCTAACGGCTAACTTTTACAAATGAGCCCGCGCAAAAATCCAAGATGAACGCCGACGTAGACGCTATATGGAGCGCTGCATTCACAATATACAGTTGCTATTCACGTTAGCGTTTTACTAGAATGATTATGTGGTGTTTCTAATAAGTTATTAGCAAATACTTATACAGGGCAACAACAGAAACAGCTAATGTCAGAAAACGCGTGTTGTCGTGATGAATCAATAGCGTTAGCTAGCGATCTTAGCTTTTATCAGGACCTTCACCATCAATCACACTGAATTAAGGGAAATAAAATGACCGCTACCTTCGTTAATAAGGTTTTAATTCGCTATATTCAGCCAATACAGACAAATCTTTAAATCTGCGTTAATGACGTGCCCAACCGACCGCTATGTTTCCCGTAGTTAGCACGACTGTTCAGCACTAGCTAACCTTAGCAGGACGGCTTCAGCACCTGTATCAAATACTAACTAGCTAGCTAGCTGGCTAACATGTACCCTCTATTCAAAAACAAACAATAATACTAGCTAATGTTTAAAAAAATCTTTGTAAGCTTAGTGACTCGTATATGGCAAAAGGTCCACCTAAAACGGCCAGCTAACGTTTACTCACCTGGACCAATGTGGACAGTAGCGCTGTGTGCTGTCGGCGGCTCGCTGAGGACTTTCTCAGACGAGGACCTTCCATAGGGGCAGTGATCGGTGTCCGTTCAGATGGATATCGCGGCTTCTTTAACCCGCTTGATACATCCAACAAACCCACAGCGCTTAAATGACAGGACTGCCTTGCTGACAGTGGAAATGCAGTTGCAAACAGGATTGAAAATATTCATTTTGGCAGAGCTGAAGGGCCATGATGACGAAATACAATAAAATGGGCGTTTTTTATGTCAGAGTCAGACCGTATTAAGATAATGAAAATGAATGGTCAAAAACGCTGCTTTTCTATATTAAAAGTTTCCAGCTATTATACAATACAATAAATAAAAACGCAAATAGGTTTGCATTCAAATTCGAATTGTGTCTTAAATAATGCACACTGCTATGAGATATGCAATTACAAACACCATTTAGCACTTGCATTTAAATTTGAAAAAAGTCCAGGAAATATAGAAAAGCTGATGGCACCATGTTAAATAATGACAACCACACTCCATGTGACGTCATATGGCATGTTCTTTACACCATAAAGACAAGTGAAATATTATCAAGCTTCAGCAATCAACATCTAACATAACAGTAAGCCAATCTATATTTAACATTTGGTATCTTTGAGAAAAGAAACATAACATAATATCTCTGGACTGGAATACAGCTTTCTTTTTGTTGTTTCTTCTTCTTCTTACTATTACTATTATTATTACTATTATTATTATTATTATTATTATTAGTAGTAGTAGTAGTAGTAGTAGTAGTGGTTGTTGTAGTTGTACTAGTAGCAGTAGGCTAGAAGCAGTGGTACTGGTATTGTTATTATCATGATTGTTATCATTATTTTTGGGTTATAGTGAAACGTCCATTGACGTTATTAACAGGTCACCAATGGACTGACTTTTTGAAACTGATTTTGGACGTCTATTGACGTTATTAGCGGGTCACCAATGGACTGACTTTTTGAAATGGATTTTGGACGTCTATGGACGTTAAAAACAGGTCACCAATGGACTGACTTTTTGAAACGGATTTTGGACGTCTATTGACGTTATTAACGGGTCACCAATGGACTGACTTTTTGAAACTGATTTTGGACGTCTATGGACGTTATTAACAGGTCACCAATGGACTGACTTTTTTAAATGGATTTTGGACGTCTATTGACGTTCATAACATGTCCCCGACTGACCGACTATTTTTAAACACATTTTGGATGTCCACAGACGTTCTTTGTTTACTGGGATAGTTTAGTGAGTTTAGTAACATATTGTTACAGTGGGATAAAGGTGTGAATGACAAAATATTATCACATTTAGAAAAGAAACACTTTTACTTGTATACAAAGCTTTGACAGAACTCTTAAGTCCTCCAGCACTGGTCTTTTAGTCCTGCTCAGAGTCAGACCCAACATAGGTCAAAGTGTTTTAGCCGTCACGGTCCTGCTCTGTGGAACAAACTGCCTGAGGTCCGGTGATCTGCCACCACTGTATTTTCTTTTGAAAGCAAAACTAAGACCTTTTATACTCAGACTTTTGTTAGCTAACTGTGTGTTTATTCTGTGTGTTTTATTACATTTGTTTTTGCTTTTGTAGTTTTATTTGGGTTAGTTATTTGATGTATTTTAACAGCTCCACTTTCTTTTTATTTATATTGTTCACAAAAAGTTTTTTTTTCTTGTTATATTAGCCTACTTTTCAGAGAATTCATCACATGGTTCATTCAAACCTTTATTTTGGAAAATGTTTTATTTATCAATGACCCATGACACATTTTTTTCTGACCGCCATCTTGGAAGTTTCGCTAGCCGGTTACACCTACCGGAAACTGGCCAGCGATGTCTGCAGCGCCAGCAGAAATGAAACTGAAGGGGCTTCGTATTTTTCCCTTGGGCCATAGTTTTCAGCTCCGTTGTTATTTTTGTCCGTGGTAGTGTCTTGAATGTCACCCGTAATACCTGAGTGTCGGGACAGGGCTGCTCCTCCGACTGAGCGGGGTTGAGATTGAGAGTGAGAGTGGGCGCAGCTCAGTGAGGCTGAGTAAGTGGGAGGAGGCGGTAGATTAACATCCTCATCGTTTCAATTCCTCCTTCTGACCAAGTCCGTATCAAACATGTTGCATGATCAGCTGCGGCTATGAATACATGTTACTCTTTAATTTTAGCTTTATAAAATCCAAAATGCAGCGTCTGCCGTGTGCGCGGCTTGGCGCTGCTTGATACAGCAGCGGCAGCAGCGCTGGGCCTGCTTTTTTCTTTCAATCTGGAAATTTCTTGACTTCAGCAGGACGGGTCGCTTAACCGAGCTAGCTTAGCTTTTTCGCCGCATCCCTCCCTCTTCACTGCTGGCCCACCACAGGCTACAACGATGCGGACTTTAGCAGAGCCTTGATTACTGGGGGGGGAAACATTTTTTATTTTCTGTCGAAAGGAAGGAGCTTAATATTTTATGGACCTGACGGTTAGCTAGTAGCAACTGCTCAGCGCAAAGAAATGTTCAATTCGAGGCGGCTGTTGCGGTTGTCGAACCGCTCCTTCTTGGCCTTCATTTTTTTCTTCTCCATGTCTACGACCTGTCTGTACTTCATTTATGTGGCCCCTGGAATAGGTAAGTGCTTAACTCCTACTACATTATGTGCTTGCAGGTATGTAAAAATAGGATAACTTGGTTTCTTTTTGTACACAGTTTCAGTGAAATTTAGGCTAAGTTGCACACCGGCCAAACACCAATTGGCTAACGTTAGTTCTAGCTTGGTTACACTTGAGCTAGCTGGCTAGATAAGGCTGGCTAATCGGATTTCATTCATTCTGGCCAAGTGGTATTTGCATACGTTTGTCTTCTGTTGTGTGTAGCGTAGTTATCACTCAGTGTTACGTTACTGATATGAAAAGCAGTGTAGTGTTTACATATTTTACGTAGCGGATGAGCTGTCTTGGTTAAATTGCTCGGTTAATGTTTTGCCTAGCACTGGCTAAGTTAGCTACATGGTTAATCAGCTTTGTAAAGCACTAACGAGCTAACCAGAGCCCTTTAAATGATGTGCAGCTGGCCAAGATTAAGCATTTCGAGATGCTTAGATTTGTACTAAGCCACTTATCTTACATTAGCTGGAAAGATTGAATCTCGTAGATACTGGGCTCGGTTTGTTTCGACTGAAACGCGTTGTATTGACTTCAGGCCTGTACTTTTTTGAGAAATTCATTCATTTATCCGTTGTTGTACATCCGTAAAAAAGTACTTATATTATTGTTCCGGGCCTGGTGTTAGGGGCACGACAATATAATGATATCTCAAGTATAAATAATAACTAGCAGCTAAGCACGTTGATAGCAACGAGTATTGTCCAGAGTGATATAATGTCTTCTCTAAGGCTGCAGTTCTGTGTAGCTCTGCACAGTTCAGTTCAGTGTTTCCCTGCATCAGCTAGTTTTCATTATGATTTGAATTCAGGAGCACTGAGGCAGAGAAAGCATTAATATGTGTATTAAACCATGTAAAATGTATGGACAGCACGTTTGCTTCATTGTGCTACGTTGACTGGCTACCTCAGCATGTTTTCAGGCTGCTGCAGTCTCTTTCACTTGCACAGTATTTATAGATTGAGTGGTGTTGATGCTATAATCTCCTGTGTACCAATACACGAATTTCACAAAACAATATGAATTGTAATTTCTGCAGAGTAGTACGATACATTTTCCGTACAGAACTAAAAATGGCAACATTTCAGAGTTCAGTTGCCAAAACAAGTTAATTTCTTAGAAGGCCACTACCATATCGCTGTCTTGGCTGTCGAGAATGGTCCACCACTCACATAATATCTGCTCAGTTGTGGTCCCATCATGGTTTCTTTCCATTTTCCATTGATTGATGAAGTATAGTGGCTCTGATAAATTGTGTAGCAGCAGATTATAAATACATTCAGTAATTTTAAACCTACACAGTGCACCTCTAAGGTAGGTTTACCTGGTAAGAGTCAGTGAGTGTAAGTACAAGGCAGAATTAAATAATAAACTGGCAGCTCATTAGGAGTAGGCGATATGATATTATATCATGATACCTCCCAGTATGTTCTCGTTACACCATATGTGTCATGATATTTTTGTTTTTTGATATTTGGTGTGTTTGAACAGCCAAAAAAGAAACCGTGGAGGCTCATTCAGAAAAATACTGTCAAATTGGGAATAATTTTTTTTCACATACTGCACTGTACTAAATCCAGTTAAACATGGCTACTTATGCTCTTCTGTGATAAAACATGCAGTTGTTTCAGTGTTTAAGTACTGTCTGTATTTACAACATGCTCTGAAACTTTATTGTGATGTAGTTTATCATAAATGTTATACACAGCGATTACCTGTCATCGTGGATGCCATGAGTAAATGGTGCAAAATGGATTGAACAATATAGAATTAGAACACTGTGCTTGGTGATGGAAACTACACAGTTCTATGGGCATTATATCATTGATGTAGTGGTTGTTACCTATCAGGTATATTCTTAAAAATATCACTGAAACTGAAAAGCAAAATCACTGTTGGTATAGACAATGTATTGTTCAGTCCCATGTCACCCCCTGCCCCGCACTTCTGAACTCCATAGACTTGATCAGACTGTCTCAGCAAGGACGTAGAGAGGGATACTGTAGTTGGATTGCAGTGCATAAAGTCTTCATTACAAAGATAAATGCACATTTGAGAGTTCAGTGGTGTAAAAGTCATGGACACTGGTCTACAGAGATGTAGGGGGGAGTGAAATGGTCAGATGAACCATTGTTCACCATATTCTCCACAAGTGGGAGTGTGCATGTGTGGTGCACACCAAGAGGACGGTGTAGTCGGAATGCTTGACCCCTGTAGTGAGAATGTCTGGTGACTCTGTTATATTTTTGGGGGACACTTTGCTGGCATAGTTTGGATGCACTTGTCCCATTGGAAGCATTGGTCTCTGCAAATCAAGTCTGTCCTGATGGCATGATCTCTCTCTCTCTTTTTTTTGGTAAGCAAAATAAGTGAGCGTATTGACAAGGTTTAAAATCAAGTTAAGCATTTTGCTTAGTGTATAAGAAGTCTCAGACATTTTTTTTTGAACAGTTGGATAAAATATCTTGCATCTTAACATGTTTGCAAAACAGGTTTCTCATTATTAAACAAAAGATACTATGAATGCAGAATCCTATAAAGGAAATTTCTGTTTCAGTGACAGAATAAATACTGACCAGGCAAAATCGCTTAAAACCTTTAGCTTATTCTAATGTGTGGAATAAATTACCCAAATAACTGTAATAAATTAGGCCTCTAGAGTCCTCCATACATATTTTTGCTATTCTTATTGTAAGAAGAAAAAATCTGGGAGTTCAAGCCAAAAGGTTGTGTTATTCCTAGCCTGTTATGTACATATGTACACATACATGCTCTTTAATTACTCCCCACACTGTTGTGTTCATGCTTGTGCTTTATTGCTGAGAAAAATCATGACCTAAAAATCAGCATTATGAATTCCAAGACAAAGCCCTTGGCTCTTGCAAGAACTTTTAAAGCCAAGTAGTTTTTAACTACTTTCTCTTAAGGTTTGTGCTTCCTTGCCATGCAGTTTCAGCTTTTAAAAGACTGTCTTCCTCAAAAGAGTAGTATCTGTCTGCTCTTGTGCCACTTTCTAAACATGTTCCTTCTGCCATCATTTAAATTCTATCTCTCAGTAAAGTGATATTGCTAGCTGAATCCCAGACTAACTAAACTCTACTAGGTTGTGTTTACTACATAAAACACGGTTGCTACCCTTTTTTGCACCATCTTTTACTGAAATTGGGCTACTGCATCGCCCCTCCCTGATATCAGCAGTTATGGCCATTCATTTCTTGGCATGACCGAATACCAGAATGATGCCCTGTTGCAAAAGTTACAGCTATAGATGTGGCTTTTCTCTGCTATGTATGTTACATGTCGTATGTATGTATACATGTCATAATGTCAGGCTGCAGCAGTAGAGCTATGTGACAGACAGACAGTTGTAGATTTGTGAGCGTAGTTATGATTCCGTATCACAGAGGAATGTATTTATTCTGTCATGTGTTGTTCAGTGCATTTACAATGTGAAGATAATGCACGGTTTCTGTGGTTTTCAGTTGTGTGCACTGTGTGGGCTTAAATGCTTTGCAGCATGCTAACTATACAAATGCAACGCTGAATGTCTGAGACTGCAAACAACGGCATGCATGAGTCACTTTTTGGACTTATCAGATGATTTGTGCAAAGCAACTTAAACTCTTTATGATGATGCTGGAAAACTGTGCATTGGATATGATGGTTCAAAAGGTCTTCTTTGAAATCATGGACAGGATAGACTAGTTTATGCATGTAGACCTGCCACGGTCATTAGATTTTAGCTGACAATTATTTGCCGTCTAAATAGTTGTGATTAACAGTTTAATTTTCTTTTTTGGTAATTGTGTGCATCTATTAAAGTACAAGTCTGAAGTGGCCAAATTGGTTGATTAGCTTTCTTGTTTCCTGACCATCAATGCTTAGAAGCTCCCAATTCACTTGATACACAGCTTGAGCTCCAATAAACAAACATTACTGACCACTGCCCTCTAAAGGTGTTATAGCACCAAGTCAGCAGTTAGAACTTTTCTTGTTTTCATAAGACCCATGATGTGTCTCAGTAATTTTTTTTTTCTGTTGTTTACCTCTGCTTCAACCCAGTGGATAAAAAACCATTTGTTTGTTGTGATGTAACCATGTTTGTGAAACCTAAGTGTAGAAAATAATTGTGTTTATCTCAAACAGTTCTATGTATATGGCTATGGTGTTTATCTCAAACAGTTCTATGTATATGGCTATGTGGAAAAAGTCCTAAGCTTCCGTGGAATTTTCTCCTGAGAAATGAGCTTTGGAAATTATGCCTGTGAGGTGTGAACTGTGTGAGTGATTCTGATCTTTTTAAGCACATGGAGGTTCAGTGACCTGATTAGTTTCTACTTCAGGATAGTAGTGGGATCCTGAGAAACTCAAGAAGATTGTCTTTCTTTCGTTAAAATAAGTAGAAAGCATTTTATTGGTTTTGTGAGTGGCATATAATGGGATTTGTTTTCAACTTGTACCCATAGTGTGACACATTATAACCAAACCGTGGAGTGATTTGTCTGCCACTTTTGCACCGTTTCTTGAAAGGATTCATAAAAGACCTCTTTAAGTCATAACCAGAGTTCTAGGGGTTTAACTATGGGTGGGCAGTGTGACAATATTTTATTGTAACATGTTAAATTACAACCCCTTTTCCAAAAAAGTTGGGACACTGTGTAGAGTTATTGAATGCAATGAAATGCAAATCATGTAAACCATTTTTTTAATGGAAAATACTTCAGACAACATATAAAATGTTGAAACAACTTTTTTTTGTTTTTAAATATATGCCCATTCTGAATTTGATGCCAACAACACGTTCCAAAAAAGTTGGGATGGGGGGCATGTTTGCCACTGTGTTTCATCACCTTTTTTTCTGTAAGCTTTTAGGAACTGAGGAGACAGTGCTGTAGTTTTGAAAGTGAAATGTTTTCTCATTCTTGCTTGATATAGGATTTCAGCTGCTCAACAGTTCGGGGGCTCATT